TCTGAAGACTGAATTTTTTGAACCCTCAGGGAAAATATTTCTGAATATTAAATGAGGGAGTGTCTGATAATAAACAGTGACCATCTCAGGTCATTAGAGAAAGTTAAATTTAGAAAAAAAAATATGCACAGATAAACTAAGGGTCAGTGCTTTCTAGAATATTTTCATTTTATTTCCCCTTGATAAATAGCATAATGTAAGGCACCCAGGTTGGCTTTTAATAAGCGTGGGTCTATTGGGTTGCTTGATTTGTTTCTTTTGATACTGTAATAAGCCATTCATATCTGTTCAGGAAAAAAATTCAGGCTGTTTTTTACTCTAAACCTATTCTGTACTTTTTTAGTGGTTAAAATTTCCTCTTGGACAGCATTTATGTGATTCATTTTTGAGAAATCCAACCATTTAAGTGACTTCAATCTAAGTTGAACCCAAGCTATTCATTTTTGAACACTTGCCCCGACAAGGCAAAAAACTCTAGTTTTATTTTTCTGCCTTATTCATCTAAATCAGTTTGTATTAATAATCTGTAGGGGGGTTATTTAAACTTTATTTTTATGAGACATTCTAAGCTTGCATAAAAATCAAGTGGAAATTCCCATGTCCCCCTCCCCCACCCTCGGCTCCCATTACCGCTTACATTTGCATTAGGGTGGTACACTTACCACAATTGATAAGCCAATAGTTGATACATTATTTTCAGCTAAAGTCCATAGTTTACATTGGGCTTCACTCTTCGTGTTGTACATTCTATGTGCAGGTTTTGACGAGCGTCAGGTGGCACGTGTCCACCTTACAGTATCATACAGAATACTTACACTCCTTAGAAATCCTCTAAGCTCCACTAGACCCCGCCGAGCCCCTGGCAACTACTAATCTTTTTACTGTGTCCATAGTCTTGATTTTCTCTGTGGCTTTTTAACTTAATGAGTGAGATAAGGAACAATTCACATCAGAGAGGTGAAACCAAGGGGATTTAATGATTTTTTGTAAGACACATTCAATTGTAAGATGGAAACCATATTACTTTCACCAACAATAGATGCCATTTTTTTTTCACCTAACATTAGTGGATAACACACTACATCCAGCAATGTTGTAGGTGTTAGAGATGACAGCAGTAAGCAGAGAGACAGAGTGTCTGCCCTCATGGAATACACATGAGGTAAAAGGAGGTAAAAGAAAGAGAAGGGCAGAAACTAAATACAAGGAGAAGCAAAATGATTCTTAATACTGCTAAATAGTACGATGGGATAAAACCTGGCTATGTGATAGAGGGACAGAAATGGAGAGGAAGCTTATTTGACAAAATGACATCTGAGCTAAGAATTAAGAGATAAGAGAGAATACATTCGAGTTTCCATTACACAGTCGGCCGACTATAATTAAAGATAATATATATATTTCAAAACACTGGAAGAGAAGATTTCTAATGTTCTTGCCATAAATAAGTGATCCTTTGAGGTAATGAATGTGCTAATTGTCCTAATTTGATCATTATATAACATACACATGTATGGAAAATCACACTGGACTCCATACATATGCATAAGTATGTATAATTATTGCATATCAATTAAAATAAAACTTAAAAAAAATTAGGAGATAAGAAGCAACTATCCAAGCAAGAGAATACTCCAGGCAGAGAGAAGAGCAAAGGCAAAGGCCTGGAGATGGAAACGAGATTGATCTGATTGAAAAAACAAATGGAATCAGCCAATGTGGCTGCAGGAGGGTGAGTAAAAGAGAGGGGGTGTGGGTGTGGGTAGGGGGGGCGAGTGGGGCTGGAGAGGCAGGTGGGGATGGGGAGGGCCAAGTAGGATTGGAGAGGCAGGTGGGGACTGTAGAGACAGTTGGGGCTGGAGTGGCAGGTGTTATATAGAGGCAGGTGGGGCTGCAGAGACAGGTGAGGTAGAAAAGAAGGCCTTGTAAATCCACAGTAAGGAGACTCAATTTTATTGTAATGGGAAGTCACTGGAGGCTTTTATGCAGGAAAATGACAGGTTCTGATCTACATTTTTAAATGATCACTCTGGATATGCAAAGTATCTTAGAATTGCAGTCCCCAACCCCCCCCCCCAGGCTGTGGCTAGGTCCCAGGCTGTGGCCTGTTAGGAACCAGGCTACACAGCAGGAGGTAAGCAGTGGGTGAGCTCAGGAAGCTTTATCTATCTTTACAGCTGCTCCCCCTCATTTGCATCGCCCACGAGCTCCATCTCCTGTCAGATCAGCATCGGCAGCATTAGGGTCTCACAGTAGCAAGTAGCACAAACTCTACTGTAAACTGTGCCTGCAAGGAATCTAGGTTGTGTGCTCTTAAGCAAGTCTAGGCCTGGGATCTGAGGTAGAGCTGCAGTGCTCTTGAGTCATCCCCAAACCATCCCTTCTCCTTCCATCCATGAAAACATTGTCTTCCATGAAACTGGTCCCTGGGTTCAAAAAGGTCAGGGCCACTGCCTTAGAAGATCTCTTTAAAATAAATACTAACACTAATACACCAAAGAGCATTAAAGACACCAACCAATAAAAGGTAACCTAGAAAGCAAAAATGGTGTTTTCAATTTCAAAGCCACTATCATCATCACATGTATCTGTCCCTACCTGCCTCACCCCCTAAAAGAAATACTCAACAGAGACTTCAATAATGTTTTCAATCACTTCTGCATTCTGCACAGTTTACCACTTTGTATGGGGATATTTACACTCCGTACCCTCCCAAAATGAAAAATCATTTCCATAGGGCACTGTAAATGAAGTCTTCATCAAAAGTCATTTTGCTTTCCACTGTAGGCCTTTATTTAAACCTTTGGAAAACCATGTTCTTCCGATAATCACAATTTGCATTTTAAAAATGCAGACGAGAAAAGGCTAATATTTCATATTTGGGTTCTTCAGGTAAAACTGAAATAACAAAACACCATCTGAACCTTGAGGTTCTGAAATGGAAACCATCCAACCACAGTTCAGGTGCCTCTCTGCTTATTACATGAGTGATTTTTCTTTTTAACTCAACAGAGAAGTGGAGGAATAAGTGATTTCTATTGTCTGTCTCTATGGCAACTAGTATCCTAATTTCACCTCTTAGATGACAATTATCCCTATTCACTGAATAGCTTTCAGTCTCTACTTTTATGATGAAAAAATTGATTTCATGAAAAATAAGGTACAGGTAATAGGTGAACTTTTCCCTTAGCAACCATGAAGTACACTTTATAACAGGTACAGTCATTCGTAAGCAGAATGTGTTCTGTGGGGTGTTTTTCTTTTTCAGGGATAAGATGTTAACACAGATGTCTTTTTAATGATAAAATATTCTTTTTTCCTTAACATTTATTTTTACTAAGTTATGAAATTATTTGGGTTCATTATAAAGAGTTTGGAAAAGACAGAAAAAAATACAGAAAAGCATTAAGAAGAAAATAATGCTCACTCTCATGTAAAAATTATCCATCAACAACCCACTTGCATTTTAGGTGCACATATATACAAATACAATTTAAATACATTATGCATAATTTTGTAACCCAACATTTTGTGAAACAGATTGTAGAGAGTTCTCCATATCATTAAATATTCTTCTAACACATGATTTTAATATCTTCAAAGGAATCTACAATATGCACTATTATATTTTACTTAACTATCCCTCTGTTGATACTATTAAATACAATGTTTGTGCACATCTCTGTTAGGTTAGAATAAATCCAAAAATGGCAATACATAGATCAAATGAATTACATTTTAAATTATATTGCCAAATTTTTCTCCAAGAAATATATCGATTTATTTTCCCACTATAGGTTGATGTAAGAGAATATTCTTGATCAGAGGTACTATTTTTTAAAAGAAGAAAAATGATAATTTGATGGAGAAAGAATTATCTTATTACATTCTTTAATTTATAATTAAAAACTTATTTTAAGGTTAAATATATTTTTACAATTTCCATTGTTTTTTGAGGGGTGGCATGTGAATTGCCTGTTCACCTTGGTAGCAAAGTTCTCCCTCTATTTCTTAGTAATAGAAGAGACAACTTTTAGCATATAGTTCCTTGAAATTTTATCTTCCATTCTCCTACACAACTAAGTGTGGCTGTGTCAACTCCAAGCTAATGAAACATAAGCAAGAGTTGTCTTTGTTATTCCAGAGAAATGTTCTTTAAGGGAAAGGATATACCCTCCTTTTTCTCTTCATTATTTCTGATATTTGACATGCAGATGTTATGGCTGAAGCTTCAGCAGTCATTTTGAACCATGAGGATATTGGCTACACTCCAGGCGGTGGTGGAGGAGAAAACTAGAGAGAGTCTGTGCTCCTAAGAATTTTGCAGAAGTGCCACCCTTGATGCTCAACTCCAGATTTTTTTAAGCCATGATTGGGTTGCATGTTTTTGTTTTATGCAACTGAACTTAATCTTGATAGATATAAAAATTTTCACCATAATGTTTAGGTGCTCTATTTTTAGAGTATTTCTACTTTATTTGATAAAAAAGTTCCCAATTTGTCATCTGATCCTTAATTTTGTTTATAGAATCAAGAGATGCAAAAATATACTTATTCTTAAATCTAATTACTACATAAATTCCATTATATACTCCGAAAAATTAGATCATAGTATTAGCTTAGAAATTTAGATTCTACAGAAATCTTTTGTCTCAATCAGAAGACAGCACTAAGAGCTAAGTTTACTTCTTATAGATAGACAATTAAGTGTTATATTGCAGTCCAAAGTCATTTAGATGATGAATGTATATGCTTTTAAGAGTTTGTTCAATAATGCATTTTTTTGCTAAAGCAGAATTTTCCCATTTGTGCAAGGTATTTTCTTAGAGGTCTCAACTAGGACTCAGTGGAAGCCGAGTGGGCTGGCTCTGCCTGTACCTCCAATCCATGTTTCAAAAGCAGCCTGTCTGTGTTATTCTTTGGAGTTCCACAGAAAGGTCCCCTGCCATTAGTGATTTTCCACACACAGAGATAAGAAATGTGGAGTCACAATTTCCTACCAGATCATAAGCAGCCAGCATCTTCTTCTGCACATCTGGAATTGCACCCACAGGCTCCAGGTAAGGAAAGCTGTCTTTCATCACAAGAGAGACTGAGGGAGTATTGTCACTGGTGATGAGCCGAGAGGACAGGGTCAACAGGCACTGCTTCAGATTGGCTACTGGAGGAAGTCCACACAGTTCTTTAATAGACACTATGGCATTCTGTGAGGAAGAAAACATAATCACATTTCTGACCACATGCCATGTCATCCCCCAGCACTCCCAAGTTTACACGAATGTTCATTAAAAGTATACCTTTAGGGACATGTATGACTGGAGTACAATTGATTATAACCACCCAGTAATGTTGGGACGTGCAGAGAGAGAATGCAGAGACTACTCGCTATCACACTTCATCTTCTTCAATCTTTAGCAGCCATCCCAAATATGTCACAAAACAAAGCAGCAAGTGGCAGAAGGCCATATAGTGCTCTTCGAAGGAGAGCACTGGGAGAGCTACAGACTGGTCATAAATATCGTATTTGATCTCTGTCATCATGATCAGGAAAACGTCTTGCCAGGGCTGTTTACTGAAATGCACCTCCCTTTGGCTTTTCCCCTCAAGGTAGCAGGGGGCAATATCTCACCACCCTCCATGTGACTAGTCACCAATGCTATTCCTTTGTCATCCCATCACAAAGATACCTGACAGACACACGCACTGAAAATGCATTTCACATAGAGCTGTTTGTCCATGTTACAGTCTGTTTAAAAAATTCATTTGTAATTGGAATTACGACTATTTTATATTCTATTAAAAGTGAACAGTACCTAACCTAGTATGTGTCTCTTGAAATTGGTGACAATGGTGGTCTTCATTTTTCTACTGAATAGACTCCAAAAAATCCTTAACCAAAACATTTTATGGTAAGATAATATACATTATCAGAACCACTTGGAAAAACTCTATAACAACCCTCATTAATATGTATTTTAAATATATACTGTAAAATATGTCAAATATATATTTCAAGAATTATATAAAAATACATAAAGCTTTCTACTATATAAAGTTAGGTATAGAAATTATTTGTAACTCATGTAATACAGGTATTTACAATAACACTAAAATTATGTCAGAAAAAGTTACATAGACGATGCTGATACTTGGAGCCTATTTTTTAAATGATGGCTAAGGCAATCCACTTCAAGTTAAATACTTACAATCTAAATATTTAGGTGTGACTTATGTATAATACTATTTTCCATTGTTTGGGCTATTTGAAATTAATTTTAAGCCTATCCCAGAACTTCTCTGTGAAGAAATATAAAAATAAAGTTTTTACTATGTCATGAGTTTGTGGATCTCCATGACATGAATGAGAAAGTATTTTTGCCTTAGGTAATTCTTGATTCAAAGCCTCACATTGTCATTAACTGCAATACTTAGAAAATTCAAAGGTTGGGTCCGCGCCTGTGGCTCAAAGGAGTAGGGCACCGACCCCATATGCTGGAGATGGCGGGTTCAAACCCAGCCTCGGCCAAAAAATTGCAAAAAAAAGAAAATTCATTAACCTCTTAGTTTATTCTCTATCTTGAAAGTAGGGATTTGTGTGAAGATTATTCTAAAAATGTTAGCTAAAGTAATAAAAGAAGTAAACTGAATCATACTTACTTTGCACATCACTGGGACATAGTAAATATTTGTAATTTGATTGGTTCTCGATAACACAAACCTACTAAGTATATTAAACAGTACCGAGGGAAAAGTTTGCCACTGTATCTGATGGTAAGTATTAGTGGCGGGAAAATACTAACACTGAATTTCTACATGTTGGCAATTGATCTGATGCAGGGAAAACTGATGATCAGAGACCTGAAATAATCTCTTCCTGCTCACACTGGGGTAGATGTAATCCAGAGCCCACACTCTTTAAATTCAACAACATCTCTAAGAGAAGACTACATACAAGTTTGGACACCAAATTTTCTTTGTTTCATTTTGATTGGTCTTGTACGGTGTAATTTATTATTGTTGTTATTATACACGTACTTTAAAAACTAAAAAATGATCTGACAGGCATTATGCTTGTTTTATATGACTTCAAATTTTCTTCCATGTTCATATGTGCAAAATTATATATCCACATATATATTTTCAATTAGCATGCTTCCGTTTGTATATTAACATTTTATATATTATACACATATATTTTATGTTTTGCTTTTTCCCTATTATATCATATGTACATCTCCATATATCAATTCAGTTATGTACTAAGGATATTTAATGGATATAGAGCATTTTAGTACTCCATAAACTGTCTTAGTACAAGCCAAACTTAATGTTACACTCAGAATTAGAAATATAAAATATATCTGTTTTATCACAGGTAATACTGAACTTGCTTCAGTGATACACAGGTTTACAGAAGCTTTCTGATAATTATTTGCAAAGCAGACCATTACCAAAACACAATGTTTTCTGGTCGGAGAATGGTATGAGTAGGGGCAGGGGAGGAAAATGTGGGATCTTTTTTTACCTACCTGCATATTTTCTCTCATGTCTATGGCTTCTCGTAAGGGATGAACTGCTATTTTAAAGATGTCATCTATGGTTTTAAGACCAATGTTCCTGAGCATGGTGTATTCCCGAACTTTCTTCCCCATTCTCACTGAGAGGCTGCGTTTCTGTGCCTTTCCTCCTCCACTTCGATTAGTTATTGCTATGTGGACAAAAAGGGTTACGTGCTCCATGATGTCACCCACGAAGGAGCGCAGGGGAACGTGCCGATATCCAGGCTGCAGACATTCAAACGGTATCGTGTACTGCCCTATAAACTCATCCCCAATGTAGTCATCATCCAGAACAACAAAACGGATCATGGCCAGCTCGGGCAGATTTACTTGAAACTCAAAAGTCTCATCAAAAATGGGATTATCACTGTTTTGTTGTACAGTTTTAGTTCTTTGTTCTGAACAGTCTGCTGGAATTCCATGTATCTCTATGCAAACATAGGGATCTATGACGTCCCCTTTGGCACAAGCCCCCTTAGGCTTTGGGAAATTCTGACCACTGATGATCTTGATATGGAGAACTAGGGGAGACACCCCAGGGACAATGCCCTTTGTGTTTGCGCTGAAGTAGGAAACCTCATCTCGCATGACAGATGGCCTTAGGACATAACCACATCCTCCGTTCTGAAGAAACCAGCCTGTGTGAAGGTCCATCATTGGACCTGGAGTCTGAAAATTCATTGCCACAATCTGACAGCCACAATTCCAAAAGTCCTGTGGATTCAAGTTACTAGAATCAATCCTCACAGCACTTGGATAGATTCTTGATAAGAACTTCTTATTATAATTTACAAAATCTTCTGGGTATTCATTTGCAATGCGGCTGGCCTCTGTTTCACTAAAGGAACAAATTTCCCAATAATTTTGGCTTTTCATAGACTGTTCAAAATCCCTGTACTGAATAGACTTACAAATAGATACCAAATCAGAGAGTTCCCTACACAGCCAGATCTGTTTCTGCTCACCGTTGTAATCTACTGACATCCTGCGAGACATTTCGGCTTCCTCATCTTCATCTGTTACTTCTCCTTCTAACAAATCAGGATCAGAGGGCAATTTCTTTCCTTTCACAATGATCATTCTTTTTAATTTTTCTGGTGATGGGAGGTAGGATTCTGATGGCAAAGGTGCTTCAGTATAGAGTTTGTCACCAAAGACCTTTTTCATCTGCTGAGCCATTACCCTCTGCTGTGGTAGGGAGCAGTGATTCCCCAAGCAAAGAATGAGTGGGTATTCAGAAGCAACGAAGGCAAATTTATTTATCACCTCTATGACGCTTCGAAAGGAAAGATGCGTCGTCATGTTATTTCTATTACAAAGGATTGGTTCGTTGTCTGAACCATCACTTACATCTAGCTCGATGCTTCGACAGCCCATTTTCAAGGCTCTAACATACCCATTGATGTCAGCTGGTCCCCTGTACTGGTCTTCGATGAGATAGGTGTTATGAGAGGCATTGATGTAGTAGTGAGATAATGGCTGGGTCATATCCTGTGCAACCTTCTTTTGCTCAGGATCAAAAATATCACATTCTGGTGACAATAAATACTGGGTAAAGCCATCAATTGCAAGAAAGCCTTTCTGACGTCCCTCTTCAGAAAGTTCGTATCTCCTAATGATGTCTAAGCACATATCTTCAGTGATATGGGTGACTCCTTGCTCAGCTTCTAAAAAGAGCATGAGGTCATTGGCATCCAAATACTCTTTGTTTTTAGATATCTGCACGAGTAAGAAATACACTTCCGGCCTGGTGCAAAGTTCACAGAAAGCTTCGCAAAATTCCTCTTCGGTCACTCGGGTAGTCAGTTTTTCTTTGCTCTTCTGGATTTCTTTAAATTTTAACCTAATCTTGGACTCCTTCAGGGTAGGGTTAAGTTGCTTTATTAACTCTACGGAGGTGTCTTCCAACATAATCCCGTTCCCATCGATATCTGCTGCTTCGAACACCGTTTTCAACCACAGGAACCTGGGTGTGTTCTGGTTATCCTCCATAAAATCGAGGGGCTGCTTACTTCGAGAAACCAGGTACCGTAACCCAGACACCCAGATATTTGCCACGTCTGCCGAATTGGCCACCAGGTCCAGAGACTCGTAGTTTTCCCCATGGAGTATAGAAAAGGCACAATCCTCACAGATCTGGTCGGCGAGGCCATTGTTCCTGAACGTTTCTGTGTTTTTCCCCAGCCTGATTTCTTTAATGGCAGAAATATCAAGTTTCGCTTTCTCCAGGTCCTTCTTGGAGGGCTCCCAGCGCAGCGCTTGGAGGTCTGTGTCCAGCGTGAAGAAGCGGTTGTAAATGCGGGAGTTGGGCCGCACTTTCTTCAGTTCGCAGCCAGCCTGCATGAAGCTGATGCAATCGCTGGCGCTGCTGATTTTCTTCTCTGACGGCATGCTGCTGAAAGACACGGTTTTCTTTCTTCCACCACATTTTTGGTTTGAAGGATCCTGTAAAATAATTTAAAAGGAATGAATCAATCTCCTTTAGAAAACAGACAAATTGAGTACCACGCCGTGAACTCCTCAGATTTTACTCAGACGTCGTGGTTATCTGAAGAGAAGTTAGCCTAAAATTTGCCTTCATAGTCGTGTTTCAGGAAAGAAACATTGCTAAGAAAATCGAGATCATGAGGCTCAGAAGAAACTTTTTTTCCCAAATGCCTGTTTGTTCTTTGAAATAAAATCAAGCATTAAGTTTGACTCACTCGTATTTGTTCACTGAAGATTTCTTAGGAACTTCTACTTGCTGGTACATTGGCTACCTAGCTCATGTCCCAGTAGACACATGAAAAAAATAAAACTAAATTTCCTTAACATGTTCTCTTCATCTATACTTGGCAACAGTTAAACAAGGTCTCTCTTAAAGCCAGTTTAAATAAAAGGCTTTTACTGTAATATACTTTATTATCACAAAGGGCTTAACTAAGTAGCTTAACTAAAAATCACTCTTTGAGGTGTCTTGAAAGTCAGATTTAAAGCTAACAATAGCCAATGGCCCTCATTTGAGCAAATGTTCAGACTGGGGTAAACAATTTAAATGAACATTATAGGAATTCACACCAGGATTTCAGTACAATGCTATTAGTAGGCACAGCTTAGAACTAAACAGAAATGTGAATGTTTCCATTAACTTTTAAGGTTCCTCTGATGTAAGTTAAATCTCAGAGCCTTTTTGCCAGACTATGTCACAGGGAACCTTTGCACTTGTCTCACAGAATCCCAGTCTTGTCCATTTCACCGTCTCTGAACAACAGTCCCAACAGGGTCCAAACTTCGTTCTTTCAGATTAGTGTATCTTAAGCAGGTTCGTTATTTCTTGCAGCTGTTTGCTTCTTAATTGTGTTTAAGCCTTCTCACCTGTTCTCCTTCCTCCACTATAGCTCCAGTCCTCTGAATACTAATAAGAGGATGGATTTCATCTTAGTCTTGAACTGTTCACTGCGTCTATCACTCCCAATTCATGTACACTGCATATCTGACTAATGCCACTGAAATTGGATATGTCTTTATACTATCATCTGTTCTGACCATAGATGCCTGTTAATAATGTTCCCAACCACATCTTCAATTCAGATAATTGTCCCAGGAACAAATTCCCCAGAAGCATCTTAATGCACATTTACCATGCCCGATTTTACAAGTATACCAGAGTCAGAAAAATGTAGAGTACAAAGGACATCGTCCTCAGAATAAAAATAAATACAAGCATTCTCAAGTTGTGATTATTCTACTCACTAGATACGTGACCTTGGTAAATCACTTAACCTTTCTGTATCTTTATTTCTGATTAGAATTAGTATACTTTAGAATATAGTGTTTTTGAAAAACTCAAAAGAGAAAATGCACATGACTATTCTTGTAAGGTTATTTCTTTTGAAAGAAAGGGACGATTGGATAACTCCCAATATCCTAGTAGGTACTGACCAGAACATTGGGAGTTATCCAGAGCTAATTCATTCCTGTCTTTGGAGGATTTCAGATAAGTCTTCAGTGATAAACTGAAAATATTTTTAAAACAATCTTATGATAGTATTATTTCAAACAATGAAAAGTAGTTGTCTGGGCCATCTCCTTCACTAGAATTCTTTTAAAACAGAGTAGAATCTCTTTTCCAGGGCCTCATTTAATTGCTCTTGCCTTCATGAGCCTGCCTGTCCTATAATTTGGAAAAAACAGGATGATTTATTATTCAATTGACTAAAACCCTGCCTATGAAAAGGAAACAAAATTTGCTTCAGTTATGATATGTTGGTGGGATGATTCATTGACTCGGCTATCTATCAGATCTTCAAGTGACAAAGATATAAATTACCCAGTTTAGATCACAGAATATTGCCTCTTGGTGCCCTGGCATTTAACAACTTAGTGCCTGCTTTTTCAGAGGGTTGCTATTTTTAATTATCCCATAGTGGTCAATTTCCTCATCCTTAAGTTAAAAAACAACTATAAATTCCAGCCATTTACACGCAGATGCTCTGATAGAACACAGTTAAAATTGTCACGACCACATGCTCAGAAACATCAGATGTTTGCGTGACTTTTTCCACACCATCAAGGCAGACACAAAATGGCACTGCTGAGACAGGATTAATCTACCAGGCAAAATAAAGAGGAAAACTGTGAATTGTGGTGGTAAATGAGACTGTAACTCGGCTTTTAAAACTGTTTGACTTGCTTTTTAAGCTAATGAGAGCTTTCACATTAAAAATTATTTTTACATAAGCAGATCATGTTCCAAACAGAATTGTTGTCAGCAGAGTTATAAAATCTTTCAGAGTTCCTATCAAGCCTTAAATGGGAAATCAGTGTTCCTCTAAATGCATGTATATGGTTCCAATGCCCAAGTGCGGTGCTGCACTGGCCTTCTCACAACATGCTGCTCAAATTGAGTGAGCCACTGCTTACGTACGAGAACTACTGCTGTCAGAATTGCTTTCTCTTATAGGCCTCTCTGCTTTGCGATGTTATCTTCTTAATTCAATATTGTCCTTCCTAGTCAGACAAGCCTTCAAGAGATGAATGTTTTATATGTAGCCCCAAAAGAAATCCACCTTCTCCATAATGCTTTTTTCTTGCTTTGATGTGCGATCCCTCAAAACTTGGAACCAGTGACATAGATCCAAGTCTTAGGTTGTCATCTCATAAAGGACAAAATCTAAAGTCATTACAAATCCCCAAATGAGCTAAAAATTGGCCAGAGCATATGTGAACAAATAATTAACTAACTTGTCTGTTGATGACTAGAGCCAAGATTATTTATATTCAAAATATGCTGGAAAAAGTCCAAACCTCTGATGTTTCTCTAATTCTACTATCAAAAAATAAAAGCTCTAGATTCAGAGAGCCAATATACTGTTCTTTCAATGGCCGTGCAATGCATCGGCTCTGACAGGTTAGGAGGGGAGAAGGAAATGAAATTTCAGGGGCCAGGAAGGATGGAAGCCTCCACTCCCCTTCTGAGCTTCGTCACCATCACAACCTCTTTGCCAGAGTTCTACGCCCCACATCTCTCATCCCCTCAGGAACGGGGGCAGGCTAGAGGTGGGGAAGGACGATCAGGATAAACAAACTGAAAGATGTTAAAGTGTTAGCTGTATGTTTTCCTTGTTCACTAGTACACATAAAAAATTATAATTGAATGATCATGAATCCACTGTAATTATCTACGTTTTGGGAAGACAGGTACTTTGACACTTTCCTAAAGAAACCAAGTTTATTATCAATTCGGGTGTGCTGCCAGCTCTTTAGATGATTGAATTGGCTCTATGACCACAACATACTTCCAGAAGACTTTTATAAAGTACAAAGACTTCCCATTTATTTCAAAGCTAACTTTCCTCACTCATGAATGCAAGCAAGAGGCCGACAAACCAATCTCTGCCCCCCCACTACCAAAATTTTTCTTAGAGCAATTTACGATAAAAGAGATTTAAATTGATCAGGATAAACACCGCACTGAGAAGCCTCTGTCCCTAAAGTGTGGTCCCATATTCTAGTGGAGCACAAGAATTAGTCAAACGCCGCGTTCAGTCGTTTTAATTTCCTAACATTTTATGTATAAGCTTCCAAATTATGATTTACCAAAAATGCATCACATTTAAATAACTTAAGTAACTAAATAAACCAAATTATATTCATTGGGTCCCTGAATATCCCCAGATAAGACTTCACGTTTGGATCTACTATTGTTTTAAATTAATCAATACATTATAAAGGATTTGATCATCAAAAATCAAGAAATCTCACAAACTAATAAAGCGATAGGCAAATATTTTACTCTTGTTAAGAAATATAAAAATTGATTACCTATGAGCATTGTTTCTTTTAATAATATATTCATATTAGAAGATAAATTCCATCTGATCTCCTGTGTCAAGGGCTATTGCTAATATTAGAAATCATTTTAAAATGGCAGGTTAAATATTCTTTGAATTTTTGAAATTTTTTCATTATCTTCTATATTATTGTTTATCTACTATTATGAATATGATACCAATCATGATTAAATGAGACTCCTTTGCAATTATAAAACATATGCAGCTTCTTAAACATATTTATTAAACTAATATTGTAAAAAGTTCCTATAAGGCAAATTAATAAACATGTTTCCATAAATTTTCATTGACTTTTTCTCTCTCTGAGTCTAAGGCTAGCTATAATGCAGGTCCCTTAAAAATAAAATGAAATAATTTTCCTTCATAAAACATTGATATCCCTAAAAGGCACTTGGCTTATTTAACGCAAACACAGTTTTTGTTCTTAATTATGAAAATACTGAATTACTTCAGTATAACAATTTCTGGGAAAAGAATTCTGAAGCAGCACAAAAATGTGAATGTACTTAATGTTATAGAACTGTGTACTTCAAAATGGTTCAAATGGTAAAGAACAAGCATTGGGAAAACAATAGTTAAAATGGTAACTTTTATGTTATACATATTTTAACACACAGGGGAAAAAAGCATTATATGAAAATTTGAAAGTCAGTAAAGAAAATGTCATGCTCAATTTTCCTCCCTTTGACCTAATGAGCATGTTTAAATGTCTAATTTTATCATCACACTGACTTTTTGGGTTTCGACAGATTGTTTTTAAGCAAAGAGTTCTAAGATGATTTTTTTGTTATAACAGAACAAAATCAAAACACCAGTTGTCAAACTCTGACTAGAGTCTCTGACTAGGGAGTCTTTGTCTCAGAACACAGAAATCTAGTTTGAAGGCAGAACACCAAAATGGCATCCTCAGTGTAAAAGGCTTATGTTCGAAGAATTCCCTTAAGAAAGTCCTAACAAAAACTGTAATAGATTATAACTAAAAGACAAAAATAAAGGCACACAAGTTTTATTTTCAACATAGGGACCCTATCCATCCTTATATGCAACCTATACACTGTAAAACTCTACTATTCATTCTGATTTTATGAACTTTCAAGCAAATCTCAGAACCAA